GTTAATGAAAATGTACAAGATCTTCATGGACACTGTGATAAAACTTTTCTAAAGAATGTAAGACTGCAATAAATAGAGTGATGCGCTGTTTTCACCATACTAAACTGTTATGATGAACTCTGAAACATCCAAAGAGATCTCACCCAGCTTCTAGGCAAACCATTCCAGCCTCAAAACTCATCTAAAACTATGTATAACGGTTTCAAAAACGCACAGAATCTATAACCAATTAGTTGTCTCATATTATTTGAAAGTTTAGATATAACTTAGTTTAATCACTCAGTTTTCAAAAATCTCTTTTTCTGTGGTCTCCATTGGACAAATCCATCTGCCTTACACAAAAGAATTTTTAAGGTCAGATATGAAATACAAATTTTTACTTCCATACATAAAGTCTTCATCAACTTTAAAGAAATAAAATTTCAAATTTTAGGAATGTATTCTGCTGATAAAAAAGATAATACATAGAACATATATTGCATTATTTTTGTGCTACCTAGACCACTCCACCCTCTTTACCATCATTTGAATTACACTAGTACTTGGTCATAAACACTACTGTTTAAAGCAGCCGTGGGCAAACTACGGCCCGCCGGCCGGATCCGGCCCGTTTGAAATGAATAAAACTAAAAAGAAAAAAGACCATACCCTTTTATGTAATGATGTTTACTTTGAATTTATATTAGTTCACACAAACACTCCATCCATGCTTTTGTTCCGGCCCTCCGGTCCAGTTTAAGAACCCATTGTGGCCCTCAAGTCAAAAAGTTTGCCCACCCCTGGTTTAAAGGGAGGCCAAGTGTCAGACAAAATGAAATTAAAAATAGATCAATTCCTCCACTTGTTAGCAGTTCTAGGAAAATGAAATGGAAGAAAGCAGCATTACTAACAAAAGTCAGGAAGAGTAGGAAAAGTACATACATGGAAATTTGTTTTATTTAAAACATTTTTGCTCTTCACAGTATAAGCATGCTTAGACATATTTAATCATTTACTGTGCCAGACATTGCTGCTGCCTACTGAACACGCCATTCTCCCTTTCTTCATTAGTAAGAAAAGTCTAGTGTTTTTTCAGATATTAGGTGATTCAAGAGATGAAAGACTTGTCTTGCTTAGTCTATGCTAATGATGGTAATTCCACTCATCTTGCCAGTAGTTGGTTTGGAACAGATTTGCAATAGACAACAAACTGTAAAAGGAAGTCTGCTTAGGGCCCTGTAAGGGCGCCTTTTTCCCCCCTTAAAAATGGACCACGAGAAAGGCAGTCCCCGTGTTTGCCTCTGGATGTCTGGAATTGCAGCAGTCATCTGAGAACAAAGTGCAGCTAGTTTAAGAGCAGCCAACACTTTGAGGATGGCAAGACAGAAGCATGGAATGATTCAGAAGCACTGATTCCTGATGACCTCGTTAAGCCAATAAATTATCTAAACCAGAAATGGTCTTATCTTCAGGCTACTTCTTACATGAGAAAATTATTATTTCCTGTTAGTATTTAAGCCATTTTGAGTTTGATGTTCCTGTTACTTACCGTAAAAAAGAAAATTCAAACTGATTCTTCGCGGAGAACAGTACTGTCTAAATGAGCATTTATTACCGAAACTACTTATAATCACCCGCTTGCAAAATCTCAATGTAAACGGTTTATGCTTTTAAAGGGAAGGTGTGCGGTATCTCGAGTGTTTTCACTAATATAAGGGGACAAAGTTACATGCTATTTGGAGGTTTGGATAGAAAAATAATTTCTTTTTTGCCCATGGGAAGTACAGCCTTTTACTTCTCTGCGTTTTTTACATTTGTGGCCTTATTATGTCTAACTTTCTCCATCATCTCTAAAAAAGTATGTAACAGTAAGTACTCTTTAGATGAGCCCCTGGCAAAGTCAACCTGGCGTTGCTTCAGGAAATCAATATGATTTAGACTTCTTTTTCTCTCTCAAAGAAAACAGGACTGTGAAAATGCTTTTCCTTGGTGTTGTCTTAAATCTTGAATAAGACCAGACAGGGTATATGTCAGAACTTACAGATGTTTTTCAAATTAATAAAAATGTGCCTCCAAAGCTGAGCTTTGCATTCTGGTGGAGTCTAAAATTAAGTAATGTGTACAAATAGAAACTCAAAACACTTCGAAGTACGGCTTATAAAAACCAACATCACAGCATATCAATCCATGAGTTCAGGGATTGCCGAAATTCATGATAATTTCTTTTCTCCTGATTTATGAGAGCTTCCCTGGACCTATGTTTCCATGTAACGCAAATGCAGAACTTGTTAATAATGTAAGCAGCTCTGGGCTCCTTCTCCACGGCAGTGACGCTCTCGTCTAAAACCAGAACTGCTTCCTTCCTGCTTTAATGGATTAGATTTGTTTAACTCACTGTCTGTGGTACTCAACCCAGCCCCACTGGCATGTGGATGCTTAATGAATATTTGATGACAGTGACTACGACTGCACAGAAGATACCCTTGTGTCCACAGGAACATGATAAAGTACTCTAAGCTCTTTAACTCTAGTTATAAAATTATGCAGTAACAGAAGGAGAGTCATGCCTTTCATAGTAATGCACTGTTTTAAGAAAACCCCAAATAGAAAAAAGAAGGGATTGAGAAGTACAGACTGGTAGTTACAAAACAGTCCCCGGGATGTAAAGTACAGCATAAGAAATGCAGTCAGTAATATTGTAATAACTGGATGGTGCCAGGTGGGTACTGAGAATATTGGGGGGAACACTTTGTCAAATATATGACTGTCTAACCCACTATGCTGTACACCTGAAACTAATATAAAGGGGTATTGAATGTCAACTGTAATTGAAAAAAATATATATAAAAAGAAAACCCCAAATAAAAGGGAAGGGACAGGAATTAACATCTATGACCTAATATGTGCTGAAAATTTATATGATATCTCTATATACTATTTTATTTTATTTCATTTTTAAATGCTTTTTAACCATATCCTCTGGACTATGTATTCAGATTCCCATTTTCCTGAATCTCAGATGGCAGTTGTATGGGGAGCCAATATTCTATGTACCAATAAGAGAAAATTCAGCCAATGAAATTATGACACACCATTTATAAGATGTGCCCTGATATCAGAGTTATCAAAATGTAAAAAATAACAGGCATCTCCAAAATAATAAAATAGGATATTGATAAGAAAAATCACTGATTCACACAGCCAGTTAGTAGTCTTGGCAAAGACAAGCTCGCTATCCACCAAAACGCCTGCTCCCCTCCCACAGTGTGACCTTCCTACTGAGAAATGGCTGTCCAGCCAGAAGCTACACCTTCCACCTCCCTGAATCCTGATCAATAGACTGTGAACACAACTAATGTAGTCACCTCCAGGCCAAAGAGGCAAAGAAGCGAGGGAACTGTCTCCATCCTCTCTTACCCGATCTACCATTTACAGGATGCTGATGCCCACGATGATGAGAGAAACTGCCTGCTGAACATGGCAGAGCCTCTGTGTCTGCCCGGGTTCCTGACTGACTCCAGAGAAGAAAGCCCTGCCTGTACCCCCAAACCACGGTGCCAAATAGGGATGCCACATTTAATTTAAAACGAGCAACAGCCTGGTCGGCGTGGCTCAGTGGTTGAGCACTGACCTAGGAACCAGGAGATCACAGTTTGATTCCCCGTCAGGGTACTTGCCCGGGTTGCGGGCTCAGTCCCTAGTGGGGGGTGTGCAGGAGGCAGCCAATCAATGATTTTCTCATCATTGATGTTTTTCTCTCTTTCTCCCTCTCCCTTCCTCACTGAAATCAATAAAATTCATTAAAAATAAAATAAAACGAGCAATAAAGTAAACTTTTATTTTGTTAAGTCACTGTCATACCGGGCTAGTGTGTGACATCAACTAGCATTACTGCAATACTGTTGTGGCAGAATTAGAATGTGAATGTCAGGTTCCAAAGCCTGGAACTGATCCTGTGACACCAGGCAAGTAGAAACCTCCAAAACAAATAAACAAAAAATCCAAAATAAAACAGGACTGATTGCTTCATTTTAAGCAGTTTTCATCACTTGGCTTGAAGGAAGGGCAGACATAAGTACATTTAAGAATGATATATTTCACAGAGAAAGTCTGGACAAGGACAATTAAAGTTGTATGTGTGATAGCATAGATTAGAGGAAAAACAAAAACAAATGAAGAATGAGGGAGTGATTTCAAAAGAGGGTAGAAGGGACACTAACATGTATTCTCTCTTTTATGTCTGGCTTTGGTCTGATACAGTTTGGGTTCAGGTAAAGAAGATCCAGGCAGGTGTTATAACCGCAGCCCACTAAGTGGTCTCGTATCTCAACATAGAGATGGCCTGTCACCTGACAGACCTGAAGCAAAGGGAAGGGAGAAAGGAGCAGCTTCACGGGCAGTGGATGGAAGGGAAGGACGGGAGGCGACAGAAAATGGGTGAGTTCCAGATTCAAGACAAGAGTTTGAACCTTGGCTCCACTATTTCTTGTACGAGAGCCCGTGACTTTGGGCAATCATTGAACCTCTCTAAGGGTCAACTCTTTCATCTAGGATGCTTATGATAACAGAATGCCTTTTACAGGTTGTTATAAGAATTAAATAAGAAAATATATGCAAAAAGCATATATTCGTGAGAAAGCACACACCGAATGTTAATCACTATTATACTTGGTGTCATTATTACCCATTAGCTTCTTTCCCCACCTAAGCGCAAACAGCCCAGTGTGCTTTTAATACACATCTCTTCTACAGATAGAAAATACAATTCCTTGGAAGAAAGTCTGCCTTCAGTTGTGAAACCAACTGACGTTAAGAGCCTGCAAAATTTCTATTTCAAATTAAAAATAAACAATTTGTTAACATGCCCTGAGGGAATGATGGGCAGAGAAAATACAAAGGTAAGGATGGTGTATGATATTTCAAACACCAGTTGCACTTTATTGCTTACATAAAAATAGCACTTTGTCAGTTCACAATACTATAAGGCGTAAAAAGAAAGGAAAGGAGCATAAAAAACTTACCCTTTGTTTTTCATTTGCACCCTTTTTATTGTTCTCTTTTCTACTTTCATCTTCATACACTAGAACAAAGTCGATTCTTCGCTGGCCGTCATTAAAATAGAGTGAGTTGGGTTTCCCATTAAATTCTTCCTGTGTAGAATGTAAAACAAACTTTAATATACATTTTTGAAAAAAATGTTTATTGCCCAGCTTTAATGGGCACATCAACATGTTTATAGAGAAAGAGAAATACATCCATTATTAGTTACTTGACAAAGATCATGGTCACCATGATTTTTGCAAGCATACTTTCTTCTTGGTGATAGTTAAGTCCTTTAATTGAGCGGTTTAGCATTATTCTACAAGTGCATGAAAGAATATCAGTACTGTGTATGTAACACACATATCCCAGAATTATTCCTGCCTCAAACAGCAAAATAAGTAGCAAGTTTGGAAATGCATACAGTAGCCAGAGATGCTTAACCAAAGGACAGAAGTTTTTTGTTTTTTTTTTTTAATATATTTTATTGATTTTTTACAGAGAGGAAGGGAGAGAGATAGAGAGTCAGAAACATCAATGAGAGAGAAACATCGATCAGCCGCCTCCCGCACATCCCCCACTGGGGATGTGCCTGCAACCCAGGTACATGCCCTCGACCGGAATCGAACCTGGGACCCTTCAGTCCGCAGGCCGACGCTCTATCCACTGAGCCAAACCGGCTTCGGCAAGGACAGAAGTTTTTTTAACAAGAAGAAAAATCTAAGACAAAGCACTGTTGATAAAAATCTCCTCCTTCCTATGTCTTATTTTCCAACTCTTCCATCATTTTTCCTGACCTCTCTTGACCTTACCACTTTATAGAAGGTATCATTTTATAACCTTAAACAAATATCAGAAGATGCTTCAATATACACAGAAGCTACTGTGTGGTCTTTGGCTATTTGTTCCCAAGTCCACAGAAGAAACCCTCTCACTCCCAGGGAAAAACAAAATAAACAACCAAACCAAGCCAAACCAGCAACGGCAACAAAATAAATGAGCTTTTTAATTTAGATCTTAAAAGCCTATGGGTTAAAAACAAACAAACAAATCATGGCAAAACACAGACCTAATACAATTGAAAACAATCTCTACAACATATGGACTTGAATAGAATTGTTTTAAAAGCCTTGAATTTGTGTTCTCACACAACTTGTCAGGATGCTTACATTAGTTCTGTTGTTAAGAATCAGACTGCTTTTTAACTAAGTAATATTTTTTTAATTTTTCAGTTTTTTTAAATTAAAAACTCCTGGGGAGACTGCATTTTGCAGTCATTTGGTAGAACTTCTTAATCATTAAATGTGACTAATTCTCCTCTGCATTCACCATCAATTAGTACAAAAATCACCTAATTTTATCACCACTTCCTGCTTTTCTTCACACCTTTGAGATGTATATTTTTGCTAAACATACATAAGAATTAAATAAGAAAATATATTCAAAAAGGAAGGTGCTTGTGATTCCCTTCCTCTTTCCACCAGGGAGCCTGTGAAGGTTTATTAGTATTCGAAGCTCCTCCCACTTAACAGGTCATTCACCAACGCAACGCCTGCTGCTGCTGCTGTAACCTAGCTCCAAGCACCTACATCTCAGCCTCATTCAACCAGGGACTCTAACCTCAAACAGTGGTTGTGCCTTGAGGTCTCCCCTAGCTAAGGCACTGAAGAGGCGCATCAATGCCTCAGGCCACTATCCAATTCTTCTATTTGCAATTTCACCGATCTAAAACCAGTAAGTGTTCTCTTAGAGCAGTGGTTCTCAACCTGTGGGTCGCGACCCCTTTGGGGGTCGAACAACCCTTTCACAGGTGTCGCCTAAGACCATCGGAAAACACATATATAATTACATATTGTTTTTGTGATTAATCACTATGCTTTAATTATGTTCAATTTGTAACAATGCAAATACATCCTGCATATCAGATATTTACATTACGACTCATAACAGTAGCAAAATTAGTTACGAAGTAGCAACGAAAATAATTTTATGGTTGGGGGTCACCACAATATGAGGAACTGTATTAAAGGGTCGCGGCGTTAGGAAGGTTGAGAACCACTGTTTCAGAGTATTTAAAGCTATACAAAAGTACTAAGCCCTGTATTTTTCATTTCAGCTACAGAGTCCTTGAAGCCACTTTGATTTCTCTTCCTTTCAATGAAGATGTTACCATTGGTGACAACCAGGGCGGCTGCTAGAGGAAAAATGTTAAGTAGGGGGAGGGGAGTTCTCAGAAAGGAAAACAGTAGGTGAGACAGGGTGGAACAGAGTCATAAAGACCTGATCATCATTGCAGAAGTCGGTAAAGTGTACAAAAGCAGCTTGCTCTCTATTGCCCACATTATGTTGCCGCTGTGGTGTCCAGCAGGAGCTCAATGAAGTTACGTTCTGAAGAATCAGGCCTGGAATGAGAACAACATTCGCACACAACTCCAGGCACTCTTTCCTGGATGGCCAATGGCTGCACAGGTTGGCAGCTAGCTCCCAGGCAATCTGGTCTGCACACAGTTCTCTCTTATGTGACAGAAGACCATGCCATTTCTTTGGAAGGAAACCCCAATGGACTTGGCAGTAGCCGCCTGTGAGAAATAACTAGGTCAAACTCTGATACGGTGTTATTAGAATGCAGAGCCAGGGAAAAGGTGCCAAGTTTCTATGGCTGTGAAATCCAGGTTTCCCATCTCTTGGCAGAAGACATTCTACTAGGCAACTGGGAAGAAGAGAGAAACTAAATGCTGGGCTGGAACAAATGTGTAATAAACAAGGGAACTGAACTAAATAAAGAAGGCTGATGTATGAACAAAAGTTAAAAAAAAAAAAAAGCTGGATTTTTCAGTGATACGTTCTACTACAGGCCTAACTCCCCGAACCAGACAGAAATGAAAGAAAACTGGAAAAAAAAATTCCTCTCCTAAGCTTTTGCTTTATATCAAGTAAAATTCTGATAATTTCTCAGGGTAAATACAGAGAATCTTCTTTAAATGACTGACTGATTATTCATGTCCTGGTCTCCATGCCTTCTCTTAGAACTACTAAAAATTTTATCTTTAGTCTTTTCTACCAGGTCAAATGGCACCAAGATGAAATACAAAAACCCTTGACACATGACTCTTCCTGTTCAGCAGCTTAAATTAAAAAAAAAAAAAAAATTTAAAAAACTTGATGAGAAGGCTTAACATTTATCAGGTAAAATCACTTTCCAGATCAGAGCTTACATATGGTTACTGATTTTCCATCTAAAAAATTTATCTATCCTTATCCTCATCTGGGTGACTTACTAATCATCACCCTGAGGGTCTTAGACAAATGTTTTCAGTGCCAAGGAAGTCAACAGAATCACTATCTGTTAATACTTCTTTCTTACTGGAAAAAACATCAAGCAAATTTCTAATTACAGTTTGGGGTCTATAAAACCCTATGTCTATTCACACCCATTGCCCTCTCGGGTACTAAGGAGAGAACATTCCATGAATCTAGTATTCATTTACCCATTCGTAGTGACCTGACCTAACACTGTACTAACAGTTAAAGGCGACAGTGGTTGGTTAAAAGGCCTACCTATGTTCACCTGTTGATATATGCAATGAAGTAGAGCAATGCTGCCAACCACTGCAGAACCATGGCCTGTCCACTTCTGCCCCTGGTGTCAGCAGAGACATTTCACTTCACACGGGGATGAAGAGGAGGCACTTGGTCTGAGCCAGGGGAGACCTGAGAAATGAGGGCTTAGCCACACAGTGAAGAGACTAGGAAGGAGGTCACGTGCGATTTACGCAAGTGATGTTTTCCAGGCCTCCCTCCTCTCAGCTGGCTTCTCTCCTTTTATTTGTGGGCAGCTACTTCAACAAAAGAGTGGAAAAGGGCAGGATCCTTCTTAACCAAATCAGGATAAAAAATGCGAGCAGTAAAATGACTCTGCCCAGTGCTTTCAAGCTAGAGTTATGACTTTGAGAACATGAAAAAAATGATTTATTTTTATTTTTATTTTTTTGCTATTGGTAAAATCAAGGGTCCTATGACTTTGATTAAATTTGGCTTTAAATTCTAGCTCTAGAAATAATCTCTCCCCCTAACCGCCCCCCCCCTTTCTCTTTCTTCCTCCTTTGGCAGGCTAAAAATAACATCTTGACCTATGTTTTAGTTCCTGAGCCCTAAGGTGGAATGAGCTCCTGGCTACTTGCCCATAAAACCAGACAGAGGAACCCTGGAACAGACCCCAGAGCTGTCCTCAAGACCTGAAGACATTATTCATCACCCTCTTGCCTCTGACCAATCAGCTCCCAGAACAACCCCCGATGTCTCCTGATTTTGCCCTACATAATCTGAAACCTACACACCGTCAGGGAGTTCGGGATTTTGAGCAGTAGCCTCCCGTTCTCCTGGGTGGAGCCATTTATAATAAAATTGGCAATATTTCCCCACTGCAGTTCTCAGTGTCCCATGTTTGGCTGTGGATGAACTCTTTCTGTTCTGTAACTGGCCAGGAAGCATGTGCGGGTACCAGTCCTGTCCCTGGAGTGGTTGAGACCTCCGTACTATAGGACAAGTGGTTGAGAAAGGATGTCCTAGGGCAGCGATTTTCAACTTTTTTTTTTTCATCTCATGGACAACATAAACCAATTACTAAAATTCTGCAACATACCAAATAATACATATTTTGCCTATCTTACAAAATATATGGGTATACAGTAATGATTTATTCACATTGGATAGCTATTGTTGTGTTGGCTGTTGTCATTTTTTAATTGGACAATCTAAGTAGAAGAGGTCAGTGCCCCTGACTAAACAGTCAGGTATTGCATATTTTAAAAATTCTTATGGCACAACAGTTGAAAATCGCTGTCCCAGAGGACAAACAAGTCCAAAGATAAATATTTTCCAGAAATTACTTGGTAGGAAAACTTCTCATAGGCAGTCTCTGAATGAAATATGGCACTGGACTTCCCCTTGGACAGGATGGCATTCTTCAAAAAATGAAAGATCACATGCATGCTTCCTGGGCAGAGAGAGAAGGGCTGGAGTAAGAGAGAACCTGGGGGAACCTGCCTGAGTGGCCTTCCTCTCAGTGCTCAGGGAGGTCGGTTACAGGTAAGCAGCCCTGAAATCCCAG